ATCAATTAATGCCATACATTATATTAACAGAATAAAGGACAAAAACCACATGATCACCTCAGAAGATTCAGAAAGAGCACTTCACAAAAATTCAACATTCGTTCATAAGAAAAACAAACTCAACAAACTAGGAATAAAAGGGAACTTCCCCCACATCGATAAAGAGGACCTACATAACCCATACCACCAATATCCTACTTACTAAGAACAACTAAATGCTTTGCCCCTACAACCAGGAAGAAGACAATGATGTCCACTCTCACCGTCTCTATTCAAATTGTATTGAGGGTCTAGAAAGGGTAATTAGACAAGGAAAAGAAATAAAAGATTTCTTTTATTGGAAAGAAAGAAGTAAGACTGTCTGTATTCACAGACAACATAATCTTGTACACACTAACAATGAACATACCATAAACAAAATTAACAAAACAGTCCCATTCACAGTAACATCAAGAACAATGAAACACTTAGGGACAACGCTAACAAGGAAATGCAAAACTTGTACACTGGCAACTATGAGATATGGGTAAAGGAGATTAAAGAAGACTTTAAATAAAATAGAAAGGCATCTTATATTCACGGATCAGAAAACTTAATATTATTGAGATGCCAATAATCCCCACACTGTTCTAAAGATTCAAAACATTCTCTATTAAAATCTCATTTGCTTTTTCACAGAAATTGAGAAGAGAATCCTTTTCACATGGAAATGGAAAAGACCCAGAATAGTCAAAACAGTCAAACAATCTTGAAAAAGAAAAACTAAATTGGAGGACTTATAAATATTTCGAACTTAGCAATCAAAATCATGCGGCATTAGCATAAGGAAGTATAGATCAACTGAATAGAATCAAGGACCCAAAATAAGATTTTACATTTATCATCAACTAATCTTTGACAAAAGTGCCAAAAAAAATTCACTGGGAAAAAAGTTGTCTTTTTAACAAATGGTGCTGGGAATTAGATATTCACACAAACGATTAATTTGGACCTCCACCTCATAACACACACAATAATCAACTCCAAACAGATGACTGATATAAATGTAAGCTCTAAAATTACAAAATTCTTAAGAGAAAGCATAAGAAAAAAGAAGAAAGCGGAAGAGTAAATCTTTGTGATCTTAATTAGTCAATCACTTGAGCATAAGAGATAAAAGGGAAAAAAAATCACAAATTGGTTGTTAAAGTTTTGTACTTCAAGAGACACAATAAAGATTGCGAAGATAACTCACAAAAAGGAAAAGAAAATATTTGCAAATCCTATATCTGATAAGGGACTTGTATTCACAATACATAAAGAACTACAACTCAATAGTAAAAAGACAAATAACTCAATTAAAAATTGGGCAGAGGATTTGAAGAGACATGTCTCCAAAGAAGATATACAAATGGTCAATAAGCAGATGGGAAGATGTTTAACATCATTAGTCATTAGAAAAATACAAACCCAAGCCACATTGACACAACTTGACACCCATTAGGATGGCAATAATGCAAAAGACAGGTTAAAAACAGTGCTGGCTGAGAACGTGGAGAAATCGGAACCTCATACATTGCCAGTAGGCATATAAAATGGTGCAGCCATTGTGGAAAACAGTTTGGCAGTTCTTCAAATTGTTAAATACAAAGTTTCCGTGACACAGAAATTATACTCCTCGGAGTATACCCAAGAGAAATGAAAACATATGTCCACACAAAATTTGTCCATGATCGTTTACAGCAGCACTTTTTAAAGTCGCCAATGAGGCACCTGGGTGGCTTAGTCACTTAGTGATTGATTCTTGATTTCCTCTCGGGTCATCATGATCTCACGGTTCGTGGGACCGAACCCCCTTGTGTCCGGTTCTGTGCTGATCCGGGCCTGCTTGGGATTCTCCCGGTCTCTCTGCCCCTCCCCTGCTTATGCTTGCTGTCTCACTCTCTCTCTAAAAATAAAGTAAATAAATAAAGTAGCCAAAAAGTGAAAACGACTCAAATTTCAAGTTTCATTCAACCAGTGAATGAAAAAGTAAAATATGGTACACCCACACAATGAAATATTATTCAGCCATAAAAATGAATGAAGTGCTAACGCGTGCAACACAGATGAATTTCAAAACCATTATGGTAAGTGAAAGAAGCCAGTCACAAAAGACCACATAAGTGCATGACTCGATTTATAATACAAAATGTCCAGAAAAAGCAAATTTATAAAGACAAGAGAGTACATTAGTGGTTGCCAGGGGCTGGAAGGAGCTGGATGTTGGGAGAGACTGTAAATTGGCATGTTCTTTGCAGGGTGATGGAAATGTTCTAAAATTAGATGCGATGATGACTGTACAACCCTATAATTATACAAAAATTTATTGACCTGTACACTAAGAGACAGGTGGATTTTATGGTGTCTAAATTAGTTCAATGAAATATATTTATAAAGAAATTAAAATTTTAAATTACGTATTAATAAATATTTAAAAATCAAAAATTTATTAGATCCATCTAGTCTTCCTCTGTGACTTAATCCAACGAATCTTTCTCATTGAGGGTTTGAAAGAGAATTGCAAAGGGAGTCATTTCCTTGCTGCATGATTCCAGTGACAAGTAGCATCTAACATAACTTTGCGTGTAACAAAGGATACTATATACTCCATACTTTAAACCACAACTGCAAGAGAAGTCACATTCCAACCTCACTGAGGCCAAACTAGAGGCGAAAGGGTACTTATCCACAAACCGGAACTAGTGGGACAGCAGGCCCATGATGTCACCACTGGATGTAGTACCTGGACGGTCTCCCACTGGGGATGGAGGGGCTGTGAGTGAATTTACAGTTCAAAGTGAGATGGATGGATTCTGTTAGGTGGGACATTTTGAAAATTATATATATGTATATATGTATATATACATATATATAATGTGTGTATGCATATAATATATATTATATATTATATTATATTATATATATATTTATATATATTATTTATATATAACAATATATATATAAATATATAGGCTATAGTACAAGCTAAGCAAAGAACCTCTGCCTTCTAAGGAAGAATACTACCGCATTAGCATTTTAAAAGAATTAATCCTTTAACATTTTTTTTTAAGCGTTTACTTTTATTTTGAGACAGAGAGAAGAGCATAGTACTGAACGGGGAGGTCATGGAGAGAAGAGAATCTGAACAGGCTCCACGGCTCTAGCAGTGCACAGAAGCCCCATGGGCTGGAACCCAGCAGGGCGGTCGAACCACAGCGAGATCATGACCTGAGCCAAGTCGATTCGCCAACCGACTGCAGCCACATTGCCAACCCCTAAAAAAGTGAGTCCTTTAAAGGCATCTTGGACGTGCAGGACATTGTCTCCAGGTATGAGTAGCCAAGCCAACATGTCACAGACACGTTTTGTCTGACCAGGCTGTACTTTTCTAGGAGCTGCCCCTCTTTTTTTTTTTTTTTAAATTTTTTTTTCAACTTTTATTTATTTTGTGACAGACAGAGCATGAGCAGGGAGACAGGCAGAGGAACGGGAGACACAAATTGGACGGCTCCAGGCTCTGCAGAGCCTGAGCTGGACGTAGCTCAACCCCACGGACCCGCATTGACTGCGTGACCTGGCTGAAGTCGGACGCTTAACTGACTGCGCCACCCAGGCGCCCCAGCTGCCCCTCTTTAAGACCACCTACCTCCCTATTCTCATGATTACGGGGGAAAAATCATCTTGTACCTCCCAAATCCCCTCTCTTGGCCACAAATGCCTTGTCATGATATGGGGAGATCCTTCCATTGGCAATTTAAACTAGAAACAGAGAGAGAGTGCCAGAGACTAAATATGGAGCATATCAAATGCCAAAGCTAAAGGCAGCCTTGCTTTTTTTACCGTGGGGATACCAGCACCTTCCAAAAAGTTCCCTTTTTCCTGAAAATAATTTCAAGTGGGACTCCATTTCATGTCACCAAGAATCCTAAATAATCCCAGTCAACTTTAAATAACTGTCTGCTTACCTTCCACTCTATCAGTTCTGCCACAATACACAAAGCTTGGTACCATTACAGCCATGCTTTTGCTATAACTCAATGGTGTCAGATGATAGAACCTTCCCTAGCAAAACACGGTCTCTAGCCACCCGCCCTCCCCCAACCCCATGACAAAAGTTAGTGATTCTGTTGCAATTCTAGACAAGCAAGCTGTTTTAGGGTCACAGTAAAGAATGGAGAGATCTGACCCAAGTCTAGGGAGTTTAGACATTTGTCCAGTCCCCAGAAAAACAAATGATTAAGTGGTGTTTATGGCTGTTATTGTAAACCAACCTGATGCAATGTGATACAAAGTGTCTGAAATCCCAAAGAAACAGAGGGATTTGTCAAAGGCCATGTTAAGAGCTTTTACAAGATCTATTTCCATTGTTTATCAACTGTTGGCTGAATCACCCTTGGATTAGCAAAACCTGAGGCATGATGTCTTTGTCTTCATGAAGATCACCGACTGAATTGCTGAGAGTTGAATTAACCAGGGGAATACAGATAGATGATACAAAATGGCTATTCCTTTTTTTGTTTGTTTGTTTTTAGTAGGCTTCACGCCCAGCTTGGAGCCCAATGCGGAGCTGGAACTCACGACCATGAGATGAAGACTTAAACTGGGATTAAGAGTAGGATGCTTAATTGACTGAGCCACCCAGGTGCCACTCACTATTCCTTTTTATAGCATTTTTATTTAGTAAAAATAGCTAGCTTATCAGGCTCCATAGAGCTATCATCAAATCTCTAGTCCCTACAGACTGGGTCCCTGCAAATCTCGTTTCAGGTTAAAAAAGAAAAAAAAA